AGTCAGAAGCAGGAGACGAAATGCCGATTGCATTCGTATCTAAGAAATTAAACAAGGCCCAAAGAAATTATTCTGTCACCGAGCAGGAATGTTTGGCAGCCATCGTATGTATCAAACGATTTCGTCCGTATGTTGAAGGGCATGAATTTACAGTCATTACCGATCATGCCTCTTTAAAATGGCTTATGTCGCAAACCGATTTACATTCCCGTTTAGCGCGTTGGTCGTTAAAACTGCAGGGTTTTCGATTTAATATTGAGCATCGAAAAGGCAAATTAAATATTGTGCCAGATGCGCTGTCACGCGTAAACGAGGACGAATTAGCAGCAATTGACTATAATAAGGGCCTAATTGTAAATTTGGACTCAGAACATTTTAAGTCAGCTGATTATCTGGATATGGTCGAGTCAGTTAAAGCCAACAATGACCAGTTTCCGGACTTGAAGGTGGTTGACAATATGCTGTATAGGCGCACCGTGCATACAACGGGTGATCAGCTACACGACAATTATGCTTGGAAATTGTGGATACCTAAGAACTTGGTCGAGGAAGTACTCCGCAATGCCCATGACAATCCGTTAGCATCACATGGCGGGATCCATAAAACGTTGGAACGAGTCCGGCGTTACTATTTTTGGCCTGGTCTTGTTGATGATGTCAAGACGTACGTAAATGCTTGCGAAACTTGCAAGATGACAAAAGCACCGAATTTTCCGATGCGACCACCTTTGGGCAAACCTGCGGAGTCTGAGAGATTTTTCCAACGTTTATACGTTGACTTTTTAGGTCCATATCCTCGGTCACGCAGCGGAAATATTGCCATCTTCATTGTTTTAGATCATTACTCTAAATTTGTTTTTCTGAAGGCAGTAAGGAAATTGAATGCAGAAACGGTTGTTAAGTACATGCAGCAAGAATTGTTTCATACATTTGGGGTGCCCGAAACTATAGTATCGGATAATGGTTCCCAGTTTAAATCTGAAGCATTTCAAAAATTCTTGCGGGAAAACAAAATTTTCCATTCACTTACAGCGGTGCATTCGCCTCAGGCAAATGCTTCTGAGCGCGTGAATCGCTCAGTTATAGCAGCCATCCGTTCGTATATTCGTCCAGATCAAAAAGACTGGGATGAAAGTTTGAGCAGTATCTGCTGCGCTTTACGGTCTGCTGTCCACTCTGGCCTCGGCACAACACCTTATTACATGGTCTTTGGTCAGCATATGATTACTTCAGGTTCAACGTACAAGTTGCTGAAAACATTGCGTCTTATTGAGGATAGAGCGGTTGTTTTCTCAAGAGAGGATTCGCTCGATATTGTGCTTAGTAAGGCGCTTGAGACCATGAAGAAACAGCAACAGAAGAACGAAAAAATCTATAACTTGCGGTCGCGTGATGTTTCTTACTCAGTTGGACAAGAAATCTTCCTTAGAAATTTTAAACAGAGTAATTTTCCAGCCGGTTACAATGCAAAGTTAGGACCAGCTTTTGTGAAAGCGAGAGTTCATCGTAGACTTGGAAATTCTTATTACGAGGTTGAAAATTTGCAAGGGAAAATACTGGGTCGTTATCATGCGAAAGACCTGCGACAGTAAATTTGTTTTCTAGCAGCGTCTGGTGTTATCAATCTTGCGTTTGCATGGAAACCCAAGCTTGATTTTAGCAGGGGGGAATTTGTAACGACGCTGGCAGTGAATATCGTATTTTTTTTTTATTGCACTACCTTGGTCAAGCAGTGCTTCGGCTGCTTATGTACACACACTGCTTGTGTAGTTACGATTTGAATTAGCGTTATGTTTTAGCGTCAACTGCCTACGATCACATTTTTTTTTTGGCCTTAGTTAACAAGATAAACAAATTTTCTCAATTGTTTTTACTTATTTTAAAGGGAGTTAATTTTCTGCAACCGCACGGCTATCGGCCACCTATTGTTTATTTTCATTGTTGCACAGTGGCAATATTTGCGAGTTGTCAGTGGCCCTTTCTTTAACCTTGACCTGTCGAAAGGAAATTGTCAAAAGAGGTGTGAAGCAATTTCCGTAAAAGAAAGTTTTCTTGCTTGGCCTTAGCATCCGGATCTTTCTTTTTACTTCGAGATCGCCTAGAGGAAGGTTGTGCATTATCCACGCTAACGGGGTTATCAACTTTTTGGTTATACAGATTATATTTGTACCTATAACCTACAACCTAATACAGCAACGATAGTATTAACAGCGAATAAAAAAGTATATAAATTGGCGAAAACTAAATTGGAGGATTCTATTGTCGAAAGGATTTTTCTGCATGGTGCCACTTCCGGACATCGGAATTGGCACTTAATAATTAGTCCAATCCAATAGGGCATTAACCTTTGCCTGTCGCTTTGATGCGCGCATGCTAATGCAGCGACTAGGCTAAGGGAGGGGTACGCCAGACGAAGGCGTGCCAGAGGTAAGATCGGCTTTCCGATCAGGCCACTGGAACGGCGAGAAGAACCGTCTCTGCAGTTTCGTGGGTCATATCGTCTATGACGGACGTCGCCTAATGACGGAGTGCGAGTGATTTTTTTGTGTTGTCTTCGGTGAAACCTGTGCCTGGGCAATTGGCAAAGCCCCGTTGTGTTGGTTGGAGGCCCGTGGGAAAGAAAAAGGCATAAATTAGCCTACCCCAACCTTTAAAGGCAACATTATATATATATCCACATATATATTTATATATGTGTCCAGCGCAAAAATGAACTTCTCTAGTGCGCTTATTATTCTTTAATTTTTTTTTCCCCTGTGTTAAATCCAAATTTAAATGTACATATGTGTAACCACGCGAGCAAAGCAACTCGGCATGGCGTGATGAAGTGGGAAAGAATATACCTAAGTGAAAACAAAAAAAAATAATACACAAAGCAAAATTCGTTAGCTACAAATGTGTATGTGCATGGCGACAATTTTTTTTCTGGTTTGTTTAAAAAAAAACACGTTAAAGCCCACCCAGTAAATATCGAACATAAACTTTAGTACAAAAAAATTATGCATGCAAGCAGCGGTGAGCCCACACAGCGCGTCCCCCCCGAAAGATCTTTCGACGTTGGACAAAAACTGTAAGTACAGCCGTTTTAATTTTTATTTTTCATACTTACTTGCGTGCATGCGTACGGAAGTGATCAGCTGTTCAATTGGAACACAGGCTTGCCTGCTAGGCATAAAAACAAACTTAACGCCTTTATGCCAAGTCTTGGCTTTTGTTTCATAATTCTCCTATTATCGGCACGCACATAAACATCCCAAAAGGGGAAAATGCATGAATTTATATAATTCAAATATTTGTTTATATTTTCTTACCCTAATTTCTTTAATATTTGAATATAAATAACCATTTCTTCCAGCCACGCCAATTGCTCTACTCACTTTGCTATACCTACTTATATATATATTTTTTTACTACTAGATATTTAATTAGAAATGTTCATAGGCTTGATTTCGTCGTAAAGGTTAAGGCGAAAGACTTGAAAACTAGTTTTAACTTGCCGTTGGATAAAGTTAGGTTATATATGGAACTTCGAAAAGACAAGGTGTTCAGTGAATTTAGTTTTTAATAAAAACATTATAATGATTGCTTAAATTTTCCGGTCTTATGATTTCCGCTAGCCGCAGCATGTAGAGGTTTGAAGGGGTCATTCGCATAATTGTTTTAGGATATGAATGACCAAGGATGGGTGGGCCAATACTTCCTCAACGTCAACAGAGGAATACCAAAGGTGTGTCCACTTGTGTCCTGTGATCTGCAAACCCAGCTTTCTTCTTTTTGTCCTATTTGTGTCAACTTACCGATTTTTATGGCTTTTCCGATAGCACGCTTTGTTTTTAAATAATAAGCTAATTAAAAGGCCGTAAGATATGAGAGTCATCGAACACCACCCATTAGCCGACGAGCCCGAGCCGGAACATACTAGCGTGCGCTCTCAATCTTACACCCACCACCTCGCCTACACTAATGGGCTATTGTCTATACCCGTTACAAATTCCGTGTAACAAAGCTCTTACTATAAGGGTTAAAGCTTTACAAATTTCTTACTATTTTTTTTTTGTTCAAGTCGCCTAGAGCTTTTACGATTGCACTGCTTTCTTGTGCTTTTTGCTGTTAGATTTTGGCATTTCCGGTTTGCGTCTGCACTGCACCTAAAAGCTTTTTTGTCCGACTAGAAGTCGGAATACTTTGCATGTAAGAAAGTTTTCTTAGCACATGAAAAAGTTCATTTTATGGCAGGATGTCAGAACCTACCATAAACATTTCACTGCAACCCTGGAGCGAAAACCTGGACAAATTAATTTAAATTTTTTTCAAACGACGTATTAAAAACAACTCATGTGGATATTATGCAGCGTGTTGTTTTTTATGACCACGCTGACATGCTTTATTCATGTGTCCAAAATTGCAGAAGTTATAAAAATCGAATTTATAAAATAATAATAAAATGAACAATTGCACTGTAATTAACTGTGCAGGATGTGGGAAAAACTCAATCTCTCCCTTTCCATCCCCCACCACCACCACCATGAAGGATAACAAAAATAATTCCATTGTTGCTGTTTAATGACTCGAAATGTTTATTCTCTCTCCATTTTTTTTCTTTCTTTGTTAATTTAATACAATAATTACATTAATTAGCCTTTTACGACATTTACACACAAACATATTTGAATATGTGAATTTAACATATACATGTATATCTGTAAATGCCCATAAATAGTTATGCATTGTTTTGGTTTGTTCGCTTTAAATACAATTCATATAAATAAAATTGAATGTACATACGTGCTTAAAAATTAGAATTAAATGTTCTTATAAGTTGGCACATGATGTACCAGATTTGAGAAAATATAGTAAATATTAGTTATATTACACAAGTATCTTAATGTTAAAATATACTTGTAGTTAGTGATCGCTTTTAAAAAGTTTTAATATTAGTTTGAAATTTAATTATTGACATCTATTAGTTTTTTAAGTAATAATATATGCGGCACGCACAGCCGAGTCCAATTATTTACACACACACACACACACACGCACACAACACTCGCAACAAACACACACAGATATATCCTTAGCTGTCTGCAGCAACTGCAGAAGCATTATCGTTCCACCATTCTCATCATCAGCATCATTGTATTCGGAATCACAATTCATTTTTACGAAATCACAGAGTAAAACACCTAGACAGTTCCAGCTGCAATGTCAATCCAGTCCCCTTACAGTGGTTGCCACAGGGACTCGCCCTCGATGGGGGCACCCCCCTCTGAGAGCGAAGGCGGTGGCGAGAGCTGCACCCGAGACACCTCGCTGAGAATGCAGGTGCCGTCGCATTCGGTACGACTGCCAAACTCCTGCTCACAGATGCAGCTTGAGCTCTCACATGAATCGGCTTTGAGGAGCGCCAGCTGCACCCCGGCGCCTGCACCACTCGATGGTTCCTCGGAGGGTGGTGTCGTCGATGGCATTTCCATGAGTGCCAAATCGTCTTCGCATTCAATGACATTCGGATGCAGTGGTTTGAAGTGATTCCTACGCCACGGTGGTGCTGCTGCACCACCCGCAAAGGTGACCATATTCTGATGACCATTATTGTTGTGGTAGCCGCCTGGAGTCAACGGTATGGCACCAAGTCCATTGGTGTGTCGCTGTCCATTCGTATAGACAATGGCATTATAAAGCGGCGCACCGTTGCGGGAAAGCTGCAAGCCACCTGCACCACCGTTAATGCCATTCTTGGAGCTACCATTTGAAGCATGCCTTCCACCAAAAAGATTGCTGCGAATACGCATCGATGAGTTGGCATACGTGGAGCGTATGGAACTGGCACGTGTGTGCATTGAGAAGGTGCGCTCATGTGGTTCCAAGCTAGTATGGAATTTGCAAAAGCAGGCCGCGAAACGTTTGTTGAATTCACGCTTGAACTTCTCCTGTGAAGACAACAAATAAACAACATCAGTGAAAATCAATTTTCTTGCTCCGAGCACACAAATAAGGTCTAAATGCCAACTGGCTTTTGTGGTTAAGATGCAAAAAGTTTTATATCAGCGTACATAGGAAAAGTTGACGAAGCGACGTCAACAGCCAGATCCAGCCGCCAGCAAATGACACATGAACGAAATGCTCCTCACACCCCTCTCAAAACCTAATTGATTGTACTTGGAAGCTTATTTGTCACCATGCCTTCGCAACATCTTCACTTTTTCGTTGGGCTGTGCTGTGCTGTGCTGTGTTGTCTTATATTGACAATAAACTGAAATATTCGCTAGCATTGAAGAACTTTTTCCACTTCTTGCCAGCTGCTGCTGTGACACCCACACGCACATCTTTAATTTAGAGAAATCCTGCACGTAATCCTGTAGCATACCGCAAAATGGCTATGAATTCGGTTACTCATGCTCCGCCGCCCTCTATTTCGATACTCGTATCTGCTCAAAAGTTTACGGCCGATTGCCAAATTCTTTTCCATCGATTTCATTGCCAACTAAACAGCCACCGGCAATTTTCGCTTGATCGCCCTTGCCCTCGCCTTCTCCCTTTCCCTGCACTCTCTGTTCATTAAAGCCCACACAAGCTTGGCTAAGAAGTTTGCCATTTGCACTCAGGCTATTGCCTGCAGGTGTTTATTGGCAACAGTCAAACGTGCTTGCCATGAACACTGCATTCGTTTAATCAAATTGCGCGAGTCGTAAATTGCAGATGATGGTATGTTTTGCTTTTTGCATTTTTATGGAAGTTCAAGGATCATAATAAAAGACAATGAGAGGGCCTTTAGACAACAACAAAAAAGGGGGAAACTAACACAGCTGGCTATTTCATAAATATGTATTTTATCTTGTTTCCACTTTACCTTGGTTTTTTTCTAGACAATATATGACTATTCTGGGCGATTCAGTTTTAAACAAGGTGCGCGGTACTCGCAAAAACAACGACCTCAAGAAACGGAAGTAAATCTGCTTATGTCTTGCAAAGTTATTTAAGCACATATTTTTTAATATTTTCTATGTTTCAAATTCATCACTTCATTCGAGAATTTCTATAACTTCAAATGTTTGTATCTCGAACAGCATTCGCGTGAACGCTTTGAGCGCTATGCTTCGGTAAGCTTTTCATTTTTTGTTATCGTTGGGACAAACGTTTATATTTTTTATAATTCAAGAAAAAACACAAACTAGTATGATTCCAAAATATCGACAGCAGATAATTAATGAAGAAGCTAAATTTAATTCAATACCATCAAAGAATTTAATTTACTTTCAAGCTCTTGTACTGCCACCTACCTTTTATCATATTGCATATTTATGTCAGATGCATGCAACTACTACCCACCACTTTTGCAAGATACAAATATAATGAAGAGTTCAGCGAGCAGGATATTAAAGTAGTCCCTGAACGAAAGTTTTGCATTTCATGCACAAAGACCCACTCACATTGTAAATGCCATAGATGAAGGGATTATAGCAGCTATTGCTCATCGCCAGCCAGTCGCAGAAGAACCAGACAATGCTAATGAAATGGTATTCGTTGATTTCCGGCATCGTGACGTGCAGAATATTATAGAGCTGCAACGGCAGCCAGCACAGGCCGAATATAATCACAACGATAATCAGCATTTTGATGACCTGCAATGGAGAGCAAATGCAACAAAGTGAGCAGAGAGTGGAAATTGAAGCGCGCCAATGCTAAAAATAACATGGTCGACCAACACTATAACCCCAGCTCCCCACTCAACAACCGACCTTCTTTTTATTTTTGAGCAGCGTTATGTCTCGCGAATCCTGCGCATTTCCCGGCGCCCGTGTGCCCCAAAGGCGAACGGCCATCTGTATGTAAACGAAGCTGATGACGCAGAACGGTACCAGATACTGCACAAAGACCAGGGAATAGCGATACGTTTTTAATTGATCGTCCGAGAGATTCTTATTCATGCAAAACGGTCGCGTTACATTAGTGATGACGTCATCATCTGCAAATACATTGCGAAAATATTAAAAACACATGAAAGAAGTGAGTTGAGGGCGAGAACTTACCCTTGAACCGTTCGTGCACCTCTTCAACACGAAACGCAATGGCGCAGGGTATGGCACAGAGTAGAGCGAGCAGCCAAATTCCCCCAATTATGAATTTCGAGACGAACTTGGTGGGACGTGCTCTGTATCGAATGGAAGAAGTTGTATTCAGTTGCTTCACGATTTCATGCTCTGTTGACCATGTTAGAAACTTACCGCAATGGATTAATAATGGCACGATGTCGATCGATTGCTATCGCCGTCAATGTGAAGACGGAGACGTTAACACTAAGGGCCTGCACAAATGGACAAAACCCACACATGAACCAGGGCAGGTTCCAGCGTTGCAGCAATGCCGCTTGGAACTGAAACGAGATGACGACCATTGAAATGATTTGCGCAAGGGTGGACTTCAGATAGATAAAGAGCAGTTCCCTTATCCTTATTAAATCAACTGCAAATCAAGAGCAAACAACATTGCGGTCAGTGGCCCACACTCTCTCTACTAACGCACTAAAATCGCAGCGGCTGCAGCAACACACAATAGCTCAGTGTCCTTCAATCAACATTTACGCCAAACAAAACTAGTTGAAAAGCAATATGGCTGAGCAAAGGGAAATAGTAGTAGTGAGCACTGTCGATGCTGTGATTTGTGCAGTTCATATTAGCGGATATTTGAACAATGTGCGAACAATGTGCTCTGCCCCTAGCATACGAAGACAGTGTCCAGTGGGGATGTCCAACTCTACAAAATGAAATTTAGTGCATTGTGTTTGAACAAGGTTCAGGTAATAGAAACGAATGGATTGAATCAGAAATGTAGTGCAATTTAAAATGCAAACAAACTCTTGTCAGACTCAATTGAGAAATAGTAGAAGCTCACGTCAGGGTGATAAATTGAGACTCCGACTGTAAATACTCTAATGCTGAAATATTTCCCCTAAGCGTGCAAACTGATGGATATTTAAGATCTTCAAACATTTAACTATTTAACTTGTTGGGTTAAATTAAATTCAGTACAATGATTTTCTATTCAAATATTTTGATTCCTTTACATATATACAATTTATTAAACTAGTTTTCTACTACCAATATGGCAGCTTAAGCTAGTTGAAAGTTAGGGAATACAAAAGTTGTCTATAGTAAGCATCTATAGGACGCACTTACATCTATGTGTATATACAATATTTACAATGTTTTACATGAAAAATGAAATTATATTTTATGATATATATTATATATTTTATACAAGGGATCTTGTGGGGAGATGCTTTGGATGGCACTTCTTCAGTCTTCTCTTCGTAGGTTCGCCAACCTTGGGGACACATAAGTCTCTTTCGATGTCCCTAGTGCGCATATACCAGACAATGCTTGGGCTGTCAGTCTGTTATATTGTATATATACGTCTATATTGTTCTCATTTACATGTATTTTACATCAGTTTCAGTTGAAATATTTCAATTGAATATTCAATTTTAAATATACGCAGGTCACTCATTGAGCTACACATTGTTTTTAGTTAAAATCCAATCACAACTGACTTTCAATGAATATGTTAACAAAAGGCAATGATTGACTACAAATTTACAACTACAACTGCAATAAAACAACACTACAACAGTCTGTCATGCCCCAAATCCACATTAGGAAATCAATTCTCAATTTTAGCCCGAAATAACAAAATGAATTCGTAATATTTAAACTGTGCACGAAAGTCGAACGCTGCCAGCGACTCTCTATTCTTCTCTTGGCATGTTGTTGACAAACTTTATTTGCAAAACTGTGCATTTTATTGTGTTAGTCAACGTTTGTCACCAACTGCAACCAATCTACCTGTTTTATTTAAGTAAAATGGAAAATCAGCATGCATAACTAAACATTTTAGACGGATGTCAAAGTGTCAGCGGTGCTTTTGAATATTTACTGAACCAATAAGCTGCATTGTGCGGCAAATTCTCTAACCTCCTATTGATACTGTCTCGCCTCATTTGAAATGTGCGATTTAAAAAAAGGCCATAGTTGATAATTCGAAGGTGGATTTTGCATCAGTTGGTTAGGTAAGAGAAACCAAGTAAATGAGCTAAAATAAGAAAGCACTAAAATATCTATAAACTTCCAAAACTTAATAATTCCAGAGAATGTAAGATAAAATATATTTTCGATAAGAAGTATTATTATTTTCATGTTTTTTTCAAATTTTTAGTTTTACTCAAAAATTATAAAGCAGAACAAATCCAATGCTCAGCAATAAATAAAAATAACATTTATTTTTTTAAATTTCCCAACCTTAAACAAAATAATATGTATTTAATTTTTAAAAGTAAGGAAATTAACCTTTTCGATGTTGAAATTCTGATTTTAATTTCTTACCTATAATTTTATTTAATTTAATTTTAAGATATTTTAAAGGACTCACACCATTCTTCTAATTAAACAAATTTAGAAATATTTTAAGAAATATAAAATTAAAGGCCAACCAAATAATTATTGAACTAACTTATCAAACAAATACCTACAACTTGATTTTGCTTTTTAAATATTGCGTTTGAATATTTTACTTGTTCATTTAAGACAAAACCAGAAATCAATATTCTGCAATAGTACAACATGTGTACATGCTAATTGCGTTTGTGAAAGCCTTCAATTGCTTTTTGAAGGAGCATACATTAAAATCCTGTGTGTAATTTGCATTTTGCATATTCGAGTGACTTCTATACGAAGCCAGAATGTTAAGCTTATTACATTACATATATTCTCGCAACTATAATAAATTTTGGTGCCATTTAATATAAAAAACATTATGACTTTTTGTACAACTATATAAGTGAATGCCCAAATGTTTACCCTCTATCTAAACAGAGCTTACGCTACTGTCAAGTTTACAGTCCACAAAATGTCGTGCCAATGCCCCGATCTAATGTACTTGGGTACTTGTGTGTGTGTGTGTGTTTTTTGGGTATACAGATATCGCTTATGCGCCGGAAATTAAATTGACGCTTGATTATAGTGAAATTGATGTTTGCCGCTGTGGTTTGTCATAAAAGCGATTCGCAGTGCCAACCTGGCCTTCTCATCCGTGAACTAAGTCGACGGCAGCGCTTATGTTCATGCAAAAACGCGCTAACAGCAGAATGTACTAATGCTATTACCCTGATTTATGCGCATATACCCGTAGTGTGAAATGTGCAGGCCGCCGCTCCAAATGAGAGACACAAATAACCAAACTTAATTTATTTAACACGCCTGCCTCTCTCTCTCTTCTGGCCATTGCGCATACGCCCTGTTGGCTGTCGAACTCATGCAAATGGAAATGTTTAATTAATGCGAAGCCAGCCAGATTTCATAAAACATTTATTTCGACCGCCAGCGCGCTGCAATGGCAAAAACAATTGCTATGATGATGGCAAACACTTCGGTTAATGTGGAGCTGGCGTCCCATGCCGACCATCAATGGAGTGCACTGTGGCCGGCCACGTGGAGGCGCTGAAGCGCACGCATTTCCCTAATTATTAAACCTGAAAATATGTGATACAAAATGCCGCGAATATCCGACCCCACTAATGAGCAGCAAACATTTTGAAAATGCATGCTAAATAGCCTCCGCCGCAAAGCCGATGACCCGAGTAGATATGAGCAACATAATAAATATTTAAACGTGGGACTGCTACTTCATCAAAATAATAAATATATACATAAGACATTGTAAATTTTGAGAGCAGGCTGAGTCACAGAAATGGAAGCATTCACACTGTAAACTTAAATTCCGATTAGTTTCAATAATTTAATTTTTATATAATTAATATAATGAATTCCTTCTTTTTCGATTCATTTATATTATTAGGAGTTGACTTGAAATAGGCACAGTATGGAGGATTACGAAAATACTTTCAGCTCTAAGAATATCTGGAAGTGCCGTTTTAAAGAATATTTTCACATTTTTAAGGTAGAGCAAGGGTCAGTATAAATGCTCAGTATAAGAAAGGAAATATTGAAAATCTGCCAGTGATATTAAGGATTTGAACTCCCAGTAATAAGTCTTTAAACAAATCTGAATATTAATGTTGCTAATAATGCTACGGAATAGTTATGTTTATCCAAAAATAAGGTGATACAAAACGTCGTAAGCAAAAGTAATGATATTAACAGTATTGTGCCATAAAATTGTTGTGCAAATTAGTTTACCAAGCACTACATAATCTTCTTTAATATATTCCTTTGACATTCCAACAGTTTCCTCAAAGGAAAGCTAAACGAGAAATTAAATATTTTCATTTTGTTCTATATTTGGGCGACCTCCACCGTGTAATACGTTCTTTATAAAACCAATTAAATATGTGCCGTTACAGTTGCAGGTAGAAATAACAAAAATTCCAGCGTCACGAGCACATACAAGTATCCTTCATCCTCAGCAACAACAACCATTTCCGCAGCATATAATTTGAGACACGTACACCCGTCATGGAGCACTTGTTGCCTGCCCACGCTTACCTGAAATGGTATGCAAAATAGTCCAATGATGACGTCAGCAAAGGCCAAATTCGCAATATACATGTTGGTGACTGTGCGCATTTGTCGTGTGGTGGCCACCACCCAAATGACCAGCGTGTTGCCAATGACGGCGATGAAGCTAATGCCGCCATAAAAGAAGAACAGCAATGCGATTATTTCGGCTGGCGCGGTGTAGAGGCGTTCTGAAAGGAGAGGAAACAATGTAAAAGCTGTATTTTGGCACAACAAAGGGCAGCGACAAAAATAATTTGCCAGAAATTAAAGTGACAGAGGCACATTAATAAAAATCAGTTGCCAGCCAGACAATGCCTGCCCGCTGGTGACATTTACTCTTGATTGGCGCTTGCGAGTGGATCCAGAGGTTAATGGCGTAGTATGTAGTAAGCAGAAAAATGTGCAAACAAAGTCAAAATTAGTCAGTTTGTCAAGCTCAGACATAACACAATTATCATACTCTACTCCTGTTGCACTTCTACTGTTGCACTAAGTAATGTTCTTCTCTAAGTTAATAAAATAACAAGTACTAAAGAAAGTTTTTACGAACTGTTAATTGAATCAACAAATTTATGATCTTGCTTAAAATATATAATTTCCAAAACATAAACAAATGTAAAATTAAAATAAAATAAAATGTATTATTATTTATTAAATGGAAAATGATCGAATCCTTTGACTTAACATTATCTATAAATACATTTTTAGAAAATGTTGTTCTAAAAGACTTCAAATTAGAATTTTCATCTAAGTTCTTTTTTTTACAGTATGGTTCTTTCATATTATTAAAAGAATTTGAAACGCGACACTTATATTGCTGTTGCAATTTTAAATTAATTAAATTTTTCTTCGTCCTTACGTTCTATAGACCTATTTTAAATTTTAAAATTTTTCTTTTAATAAGTGTAACACCGAGCAAAAGGAATTAAATGTCTTTGAAAAACATTTACATTTAAAATTTCAATTTATTTATAGGCGTCGTTAATTAGTAAAGGGTTTCTCTTCTCTTGGCTCTGTTCTTTTATTTAATAAGATGTAATTATGTAATAATGTAATAATAAACAATTTATATTTGTACCTAAAGATTTTATCAGTCATGTCAACACAGACTTTATTTGAAATTAAGCTGTTGTTGACATTAATTTGCCGTGAGCATTTGTCACCTTTTTCTTCGCCTTTTAGCAATTTTGTTTCGTTTCTCAAAAAAAAATCTATTATACTGTCGTTTGGCACTTGTATCCCATGACGACCAAAATCCTAAAAGGATAACTCTGATCCACTTCTGAATACTGTGGACTTTCTGTTACTTCAGTTAGGTCAAGCCACAGTCCTACCATAATGCTTAGCAGAAAAAATTGCAAAGTAGTAAGCATCTTGTCCACTGTAATAAAACAAGCATATGCTGCCCCTGTCACTATCGGAGTTATTCTAATCCTCTTTTGGACGGGGTAATGGAAATCTTCACTGGCACGGATTAAAATTGAGTGCCAAATCTTGCTGTCACTTACCAAACTCTGCTTCCTCTTCAGCGCCAGGCAGCATCTCCTCCCTCAGCTGCTGTTGCTGCTGATCTGTTATGTCCACTTCCATGCTGAGCCCAAGTTGTTTTGTATAACTTTATGTTTTTTTTTTTTTTGTTTGTTTTTTTATAGTTTTTGCTAGTTGTGTTCAGTTGTTAAAATTTTACAATTTCGCAAACACTTTTCTCCAACGATAGGGTAAGTGATGAAATATTTCTCGTTTCTAGCGCTTTTATTTATGATTCGCAATGCATTTTAATTCCCAGCGCGTTTTCCACCCTGAGGCTGCAAGATAAATGAAAAACGCGGAAGACAAATTAGCAACTTGCGTTTCAATGAGTGTCGCAATAAAAGAATCAACAAACAGAGAAATTTCTCTAAAAATAATTGAACCAAAAATTTGACAGATACTGCAGAAGATTAATGGCAGCCAAAATAACACGATTCTGGGTATAATTTAATTGCAAAAATTATTTATGTTGCCTCGCATAATCAATCTTTGACACCCATTTGCCAGTGTCTGCCATTTGCCTTCTACCACTGCCATTGCCATTCACTTAATCAGTGCCCCAAAATCTCCCAGTTGGAAAATTGAATTTATGACCTTCTCCAGTCAGGTGAAATAAATCAAATGCGCACGTAAGACCAAAAACTAAAACGAAGCTATTACAAACTCGGCCATCTTGTAAGCCACCTTTTGACTGTAATTCCTGCAAAAGCAGCAGAAAGCTGTATGAATATTGCACATAATTCAAAGCGCAACATTTTTCTGTCAGCTGTCAGTTTTCACATGGCATGGTTTGTTTTACATAATTGAACACTTTTATCGCAGATTGTGTGCGCATCCAAATTTCTCGAAACACTGGTCAACGGACAAAAGTCCGTTTAACGTACACGCTTGTATTTAATACCGACTTTCTCTCCTTGCACACTGGTCAACAGCCAGACAAAAGTCCATTATACTAGACTGATGGAAACATCATGGAAAGCAGAAGGGTAATTTCCCACTAAAGGTTAAGTCGAGCAAATAGAGTTGACTAAATTTTAGTTATTTGCTGATTTCATCTTCGATTCCGTTTTCGTGTGCTTTTTTGACCGTGAAAAGCGACATCCTATAAAGAACTCAGAAAGTCTGTAAAAACGCTAATGTTCGCATACCATCACATTAAATATACAAGTAGATCTAGCCAAAAATGCTGGTGAATATACGAATATCTATATCATGATTGGGGGAATCAAGTGATTTCATTATTTTAGTTGCGATGTACTATAATAAGAAGAAAGGAGTGCGAGTCTAGCGAGCTCAACTGTGCCGCCAAAAAAAAACTATTACAAAAAAACATTTTAAAAATAATTTAAAAAAAATTAATTAATTTAATAAATTTATTAAATTAAAAATGGCCAATGTATGTATTGTATAAGTAGGCACATATTTCCATGTACAGTTTCAACAGTATAATTTACGTCAGAATCATTTCTATGCCGCACAGAATTAAATGAAATCAGCAACAGTAACAACAGCTGTGGGCAGAGCTTAGGCAGAGATTATATTGATGATTAAAACTTCTTAATTAACGTACCATATTCAACGTACGAACATATAACCACAAACTGGAAGTACAACTATTTGCCAAATTTGATTGAAAAATTCCAAGAAATTCAGAGTTATGGATAATTACTAATAGCGGGGAGTTGGGGGTGTGTTTAGCCTTTTACCCTTGGGCTAAGTGTCAAAATATTTAAATACATATAATCAAACAATATTGAACAAATTGTTTCGATCAATTTAGGTTAATAATTTATTTTGGCACAGCTCTTAACAATTGATTCTAAGAATTTAAATTTGAAATTTATTTGGCACATCTCCTACTTACATCCTTCCAATCTCTCCCTTACCCCAATGGACTAAAACTCCACAGTTGTAAGCATTTAAGCATTATATATATATGAGTAAATATTTATGCAATTTCTGATAATTTCTTAAGAAATGTGTTTCTTGCGAGCCGACTATTTTCAACAATCAGAAGAATACAGTTTGTGTTGCTTTTTCTGTAATTCAAAGTATTTATTCCACGGAATAATATTTTCAGCTTCCCCTCCTCCCTTTCCCCAATTATAGACTTCATTTAAGTTGCAAGCACACCTTTTTGCTACTGCTCACCCGCTCCTGCAATCCAAATTCATTGTAAAGGCGAACTTCAATTGTCGTTCATTCAATTACGTTCATTTGCATACATAGTAATTTTTACGAGTATTTTCCGTTTTTGGCGCGTTTGTTGCATGTGGCAGAGCCAGTGTGCGTTTCTTGTACCGGCTGTAAACATGTGGTTTTATACTTTCCACCACACAATTGCTTTTTCCCTACGTGCAACCAAGGCCAATGGGCAGACGATAGAGGACAACTGACGGTCGCAACCATGTTGGTCCTTGCTGTTATTGTTGTTGTAAAACATGTCGTAATATTTGTTTTAATACTTCGTACAATACATATTTCCTTGTTTTTATTGAGGAATAGCGTTGGTCAATATGGCCCAAAGCATTTGCTGGTCAGCAAATTCCGGGCGTCGGCATGGATTGACTTTTATGTGTAAATGTATTTTATTATACTAAATGCTGCCTAAAATGAATTTTGAAAAAGCCACAATATTATTTTTATGTGCATTGGAGTAGCTCTTACGTGAATGAATTTATGCTCTGCAATGTATAAATAAACACATTACAATAAAAACAACCTAAGGTTGAAAGCAGGTAGATATATATATCGAATAGGAATTTTATAATTCTACATATTGCCCATGTAAATACGTTTTAAAACTTCATTGAAACTGTGTAATAATTTGTAGCTGATTCAAAAATGAATGTGAAAAAAAATTCGCGTAGTTAGTATATATATACTTGTAAATACTTGTATATTAAAGCTGGTGGAAAAAAATTTATATTTTAAGAGCAATAGCAGTAGCAATTTAAAATAATTTTTAAAATAAATAAAAAAACTAAATCAAATGTAAGAATGTTACGAATTTCAAATATTCTTTCTGAATTATAAATAGTAATGGAGAACCTCAATGTCGCTTAATTTTTAGTGAAAGGACTTTAAATTATAAATAGAAAAATGTTATGAGAGCTGTTAAATGAAGTTTATTGAAACTTGCATCTTCACAATATACTATATAACTTATAATTTTAATGGTATTTTTAAATTATTTGAATCAAATTAAAAAAATATAAAAATAAAAAATAACATTAATCCTAATAAAATATACATAATTTGCAAACAGTGTAGTTTTTTGTATAAGTCAATAAATTATGTGTAAGCCTGTTCATGAATATTAATAAATGCATATACATGTATGTACATATTTTTTTATGATATTTACCCATGCATTACATTTGCTTTAACACTAACAACAAAGTGTGTACACACAAATACTAAGTTAATAAAAGACGAATTTCAAACCTATGTGAAATTGTTCGTTAAGTAAACTTTTTCGTAACTCAGTGCGTGCTCTAATGTGTTTATTTATCTGAAATGTAAAAAGGACCGACAATGTGTGCATTAAGGCACTGTAATCTGCTTCTTGCCTAAAAATAACCCTATCGGTAGCAAAAGACACGCCTGAATAAATTTCTTAACGCTCACACACCTAAGCTTGATAGGATAAGGCGAGCTGCCATATGATAGGATTAAAGGCATTGATTGAAGAGACTACAAACCTCACATACGGGTATGTTACACAATTCAGTTCTTTTCCATTAGCATGATGAAAATGGCACCATTTCGGAACTCCACCCAGGCTCCCAGGCCATTACTCTTCAGGCTGTTCTCACTTTGAAGGATGCGAGACCTAATTTAATTATTACGGCTTTACTTGCACGCTCTGTGCAGAAAACTGCTGTTTCTGAGCTGAACTACTCGCGAATCATTAAAGTTTTTTGCCTTATCTGCAAATCTGAGCCGCAACTCTGCACTTTACAACTTGTGTCCTTGCCTGAAAGGATTTATGAGTGCGTGTGCGTGCCTTAAATGTCTTTATGCTGCTTGCCAATGCTCTTCTCGGTGTGTGAGCTTGCATGAAAAGTCAACTAAGTGACAAATAGCGACAAATACATGTACATGTATATTTCAAAAAGAAAAAACTTGGTTTGTATTCAGCCTTCCTAGAAGCGTGTCATGCTATACCAAATTGTAAATGAATGGCAAATTGTTAGGCACAGGCATGTTTTCTTTCGAAAATTCAATTAGTCTGGCTTTGCTAGGCAGTTGGCCAACATTTTTTCCTTCATTTGCTTGAAATGCCAAAAGTTCGTTATGGTCGGCGCTTTTATGTGACGATTTTATGGCCCGCTGGTCACTTACCGTCATCACTGGAGTGAAGTCTCTCCATTAAGCCAATTCTGCACGGGTCATTGAGTGTGTGCAATGTGCTTTTATGTGTGTGTTTGTGTATTCGATTTGCATCTGATGTGGAAGTGAATGAAAAATTACTCCTCTCTATGTAGGCTTCAGAAATTTGTAACATCCACGCAAACATAAAAACGTAAACATGTATTTTAATTTACTAAACATCTTCTTCAGGAGCCAATTTAACAACGAAAAACAAAAACAGCTTAAAAACAGTATAATAATTTAATGAAGGACTTTGGAATGTAAAGGTTCCAAATTGTCTATTCATGAGCAACGAAAGGACAATGCACAACTTTTTTGTGGCGCTTTTTAAGGTCTGTCTATGAGGTGAGATGGGTCATTAGATTGCTAACGAACTTCCAGAAAACGAAAAGTCATGCAATGCGTAAGCTAGAAAAATGTGTAGGCTGTTGGCGAACATCCGGTTGTCGGGCACCATTTTCGAGGAACCTGTGTACACACCGTCAACACGAGAAGAAAAGTTTGTTAAAATAATAAACTCGCTTGCTCAGAGTATTCAAATATACGCATGATGTGTCTGCAGCTACAGAAGCATTTAATTAAAGCATGAAATAATGCAACAAATAGTCAAGTAGGCCCCAAACATACATAGCTTCATGGCTAAGTACGTGAGTTGGCCATGACTTCGCCTGTCGGCCATAATA